ATTAACCTGCCATCAAAACACTCAGGCGAGAGACGAAGTCAAGATCTATGGCGTTATGCCGTTTATTTCTAAATGAAATAGTTTTTGAAACTAATTTTAGTTCCAAGAGGAATGGTGGACTATTATTACTTTATGATATTCAATATTTTTCATTTTATAAAACGTCATTCAATTATTAATTCAATTATTTGCAAAAAGTTGAAACTTTTGCAGCTTTCATTATAAACTCTCCAGATATATAAAATAAAATTGACTTAGTTCTGGCATTGCTATCTAAGTCAGGTATTTACTCCTTCACCTAGTAATTATCCTTTTATTTAATACATCGAATGTTTTTTTGAGAACTTAAAATGATAACGCAAATCAGAAATATTCTTGGAATGAAATTTTTTTATTACAATCTTTTTTTTTTGTTTTTTTTTTGACTCTAACTCTTCCTTGATTCTCGAATAAATCTTTTGCCGCAGTGCAATTTTTGACTTATTTTGGCTATAAAAATGGCATTATGGCTTCAATTGTGGCATAAACATGGGTTTCCTATGTTTCAAGAGTCCAATGAAAAGTAATCGAGAGGCGTTAAATCATACGAACGAGGGAGTCAGTTAAAAGGACTACTTCTAGAAATTGGCTTCCTATGCTTCAAGAGTCCCAAGAAAACTAATCGCGAGACGTTAAATCGTACGATTGAGGGAGTCAGTTAACAGGACTACTTCTAAAAATAAAGTTATCACCAAGTTGATTTCGCAATAAAAGGATTGTTAAGCAAGCAATTTTTTTATTAAGTAAAAGTGCTTTATATATGTACTTTCTTGCGTTTGATCAAGCAAAGGAGAACAAAACTTAAAATTAAAATTAGAATAAAATTTATAATTATATTTAGAAATAATAATTTTGTAATAATTTTAGATTATCTATCTAATAGCATATACTGACTGCTTCTGCAAAAAAAAATCAAATTCTAAAAAATAATTTTACCAAATAATTAACTAAAATATGTACTGAATTTAATTTAGTATAGCACGTTTATAATGTATTTTACATTTTCAATATAATATATATAAATTTGAATTTAAATTGCTTCTCTAGTATTTATATAAAAGCCACAAAACAATAATTTCGCTCCATAAATCGCTTTTAAAGACTTTCCATGTGAAAGAGAAATGTGCGTGTTAAAAACAACAAAAAACTGTCGCAGTCATAAATTTCTTTTATATTTTTAATGTTACTTTTCAGAAATTATGAGATTTTTATTATGTCCGAAATCTAAGAAATATAGTCACAAAAATGCCATAAAGCAAAAAATGTAACATTTTTGAAAAAGAAAGTTGTGTGTCACCATTCTAAGGCATAACTGCAAAAAAAAAAAAATAATCTAAAATATGAGATACTTCTGTGCATGACATGTGCATAAATTAAACAAAATGAAAAATTCGTAATTAAAATAAAATTTTGAAACTGCAACAATATTGTCGGAGGAGATAATTTTGTATTCAACGCTTTAAGAGAAATTAAAATACAGATTTTATAATTATTTTTTTTAGTCAAAAATGTTTTCGATGGTTCAAAAATTTTCTAATAAAAATTTATGCATTAAATTTACAAAAAATAAAAAAAAAACTAATTTACTAACAAAAGCAAATATAAAGTCTGTTTATTTCATAAAAATCTTTAGAGTTTACTTAGTACTGTTTGTACTTTAATTTGCTAAGTTATAATATGTTTATACTTACACTTATCTTGCTTATTTAAAATATTTTTATATGCTTTTTGTATGGATTTTGTATAGAAAATGCACAGTTCAAGGTATATTTATCGTGTTAAATACATTAGTCTAGACATAGCTTTAAGTTAAAGTAGTACGGTAATCCTAGAGATCCATTTAAACCTGTTGCTCTGTTTGCTCTGTAGAGATCTAACAGGGTTCAAAACTATTTCTAGATGCGCTTCAAGGAAATTTATTGCAACTATTCCAAATCTTATTTTAGTTAAGTAAAATGACTAAAACTCTTTTAAAAAAAAAGTAAATGAAGTAATTAAAATGGTATGGAGAGCAGACTATGTCTAGTAGAAAAGAAAACAGCGGTGCAGATATTGCCTTGGGACACTATTGAGTTGGTGATGACTTAGCAGCCAACCTCAAGGTAAATGAGCTGCTTGCACTAACAGAAGCTATTTATGCGAACAGAAGCTATTTTTAATTCAAATCAATAATGGTATCCGTGTATCAAAGGACGAAAACTACCCATTGTTTCGTGGTCTATTTTGGCTAATCATTCACTTCAGTGGAACCACTTGATCAACGGTGCGCTGCCCCAACGTCCCACAAATGTTATAAAAAATTCTACTTATATAACAGTTCCACTATATATGTGGAATGTCATATATGTCATAGATATGTCATAATTTTTATGTTTATGTTTTATTTTTTTATGTTTAATAAATTCCATACAATACCTCAATTATACCCTCTAGGAAAATGCATAAAAATTAATTGAACATCATAAAATCTGCTTGAGACACTAAATACTAGAAAAATTCTTAACTAAATACAAGGATAGAATAGAAATGTAGTGGTTGTTGGGACGAAAGATAAGATTTTTGGGAAATATTATATTTATTTTAAATATAGCCGTTTAGTTAATCTCACTAACTGTAATCTATATTCAAATTATTAAATCTTTATTGTTATTTAAAATCGGATCGTATCTTTCTCCAGACCGGTTTCATTTGATATAAAGACCCCAGATGATAGGATTAAATTTGGCAACGGATTTAAGTTAACACTGCTATTTTGAACAACACTGTTCAATATGATATATGTTATTATGACTTAGTTCAAGAGATATCGCTCTTTAAGTTTGATCAGTTTTACCATCTATCACTACTTGTTACTCGCTTCAAGTGCAATCAATGTACAAACTGCTTATGTTAGATGGCGGTAGATTACGTGTGTAGTTTTTTAGTGTAATAAAATACACATCCTCAAGATTCAAGCAATAGCCCTCGAAAACTGCATACACAAACAGTAACTGCATATTCTAAATGTAATAGATAGAAAAGTAGCAAGAAGATAAATATGCAATATAAATAACATTTATTTTTATATATAATAATAGGTAGATAATTGATTTTCAACATCAGTTATGACGAATGAAACTATTTTCTTAATATATAAAGGTTTTCGAACAGTAGTGAACTGCAACAACAAAATTTTATTATTTTTAATTAATTTAATTTTTGGCTGACCATACAAATGCTTCGAGTATTGTCAAATGCTAAGTATTAGTATTTTGAACAGTATTGAATTACAACAACAAAATTTTATTATTTTTAAGTAAGTGAATGATTGACTGACCATAGAGTTGTTGCGAATTTTGCCAAATATCGCTCATCAGTGATCTTTCCGGCATATAATCAGTTTAGGGGTGAATCGATATAATAGGGCTACCCATTTCGTACTTGGTTAGCAAAATTTCAATAATTTAATTAAAATATTTATTGTTGTTTCTTATTACTGTTCGAACCCTTTTTGACTTGAAAATAAATATTGTTTATGTTACATTTGTAACGACTGTCTGCGTCTAAAAATGTGTGTTTTAAGCATAAGATAATTTCCAGCCAAACACAAAGGAGTCTGTAGATCTATAAAAATCTATATTTAAACATAACTAATTTTTTAAATAAATGACACAGAGTTACTGTCATATATTATTCATAAACTAAAACCCATCATGGAAAAATGTATTACAATTTTTAATAATTCGAATTTCACATTCACTTGTTGAGGTTTACTTATTTTAAGTTACCATTAAAATTTATATATAGTTTTCTTTCAAGATTTTCGATAAATTAATTTAATTATTTTTTATTTTTTATATTTTTATCTATAATAAAATATACATATTAAAATATTAAAACAGAAAAAGATTTTTATTGCTTTCGTATACAAATTAATTTGTTTGCTTAGAAAGCTGCGGATAATTTTCAAGAAAAAAATATAATAAAACTTTATTTCGCCGCATCGTACAGTACTGCTTATACACAAAAGTCATAAATGTAGCTGGTATTCATCTATTTTTAAATGCCCCACACACCGATATCACTTCTAGTGTGTCGCAAGTAGACGCACTGAACAAAATTTATTTGAAAATGTATTTTTATCTATGTTGTACATTTTAAACACAATTTCTTTGCTATACAAGATAAAGATAGATACAGATATTAAGTATTTACTAAAATATATACGTTATGTTTATTAAGAATTTAAAATATCTTTATAATAAAGTACTTCACTATATAATAGATACCTATTACTTTGTATGCTTTACATAGAAGAAAATGCTTTTAAATATTTAGGTGTTTACTTTTTGACATAATCTTCTGTTTTTTGGTTACTCTTTTCCCTTTCTTCTAGTGCTTGAACCATATTAATCTAATTTTCTAAAAATTTTTAAGCAATTGCATGTAAGACGTATTATATCTACATCTTCGTTAAAGATTTTTCAAATGTGATTAAGTCCAATATTCACAACACTTGTAACAACCGTTGAATTTTTATGGAGTTCTTTCAATACCGTAACGTTCCACTCTTTCGACGTTTCTGTCAGTGATGGTGGTAAAGTTAAAATATTTGCTGAATGAAGACATATCTCATCTTCTATATTTTCTTTATGTGAAATTGGTTTATCTAAGTCAGAAGGCATGGACGTGGCGCAAGTACATGGGGAGTTAATGGAGGGGACGGAGTTATTGTGTGAAAGCAAGAGTGGACTAGTGATAGACTCTGTGATTGGGGTCACGAGAGCCACGGTTATAGAGTGGGATGATGGAGCATTTGAATCTCGCTCAACGAAGTATAGCGTAAGGTATTGAGTGAGTTCGAAGCGCACAGATTGGACGAGGTCTACAGAAGAGGCTACAGAAGAGGCGGAAGAGACACCAGGTGGAAGGATATTGTAAAAATATATCTAAACAAAGCATAATATAAATAAATTGTTTAATAAATATATGAGCTTACTTTAAAATTAACACAATACGAATTTCGTTTACACGTTGTTTTGAATTATAATTTTACAATGCAAATTAACATAATCATGTTGAACAAAATAAAATAAAAAAAATATCTTGAGACATGTTTTTACTAACGAAATAGAATGTATATTATCAACCAAACCAAACGAAACAACCAACCAATAGCCATTGCAGGAAACCAAACGTTATAGTCCAGACCCTTATGTATACTTCAAAGACACTATTGAAAACGCAGTTATGGCTCCTAGTGCAGACAAACCACCATAGAACAAAATACTACACAAGATTTTCTGAAAAAATGTGAAAAAAATTATTATATGGAGTAAATTAAAAAACACATTTTTCAGGAATAAATGTTATAATAATAAATAAATAAATTTTTACACATGCATTTCATGGTAAAAATACATATCATTAATAATAAATGTATATAAAAGAGACAAAGAGAAAAATGCATAATATAATATCTTTTACTCACTAACACAAATAGTGGTATTGATGATCCCGTTGATCGAAATCGGTTACATAGTAATAGAGCGAAGGCGCAAAAAATATTTTTGAATTAAATACTATTCCATAGCATGGGCTGCATTATGGAGTAAAAAGTGTATAAATTTATACCTTGTTGCAGCTCTGCACTGATACTAAGGGATTACTCGGTTACCGACTATGTTATCCGAGAATGTGAATTTTACTTATATATATATGAAACCCGGGTCGAAAATCGAATAATAGAACTAAAACTAAATATGTCTTCCTTGATGAAGCATAGAAGTTTCATATTTTTCGTTTAATTCTTCAGTCAAATTCGCAGCTCCAAATTCGATGCCTTGAGTGCCATATCGATCCAGCTAAAAAGCAACAGATTTACACGTCGTTGATTATAGAGTTTATGTTCATCATAACATACAAAACGGTTAAATAGAAAATCATGCAATCACTCATCTTAACGGAAACCCAAATACAAATAGGGTTAACACAATGGACCACCCGAATGGCGGTGTATCGTATTCCCCACATAATAATTACAATAAATGGATTTTAATTTTTTCAGTACTTACTATTAATTGTCTTTTCCGTTGTCTTGTCTTCAAGATTTCCAAAATGTGCTAAAATGTGAAAGAAACATAAACATTTCGTTACTTAAAGATATAAATAAAATGAATGAAGTTGTAACTTACATGGCTGTTTAGAATAGCTCTACATAAGGGGCAAGTTACATGGCAACTGGCACTGTAGTGAAGGTAGCTGAGAACACATTCGGTACAGAAACTGTGCTGACACTCTAGTATAATAGGATTACGTTTGATTTCCATACAAATAGAACAATTTTCATTATCCTTGTTCTTCATTTTGTAATTTTTTTTCAAATTTAAAGTAAATGTATTGCAAATGTAAAAAAAATAATATAGATATTTTCTTTAGTTAGTTGTATTCAGATTTTTATTTATTTTTATTCTATTTTGGAAGTTTAAAATATCAAAACATAGTTGATTATTATTATTTCAAAAGCTAAGATATTACTACAGATATTGTATATACTGAACTTATTATGTGTGAAAACAAATTAATTAAAATCAGTAACAAAATAGCGAAGAAAATATCGATGAGAACATTAATTGTAACGGAAGTTGTGATCAGGGGTTGTTACTCTTCAAGGATATACGTATTTGTATACGATAGTTGCTAGAACCGATATTGAACAGCGGAATAATAAAAGAAAAACTAAGTATTCTATTAAAATATAAAACGTAAAATTAGAGCAGTTTATTTAAAATATCACGGAGCACTTCGATGGAAAGTCAATAGTGTGTTGGACCCCAGGAAGAAGACTGTAGAAAAGAATAAAATATTTACGAATTTATTTCATTGCGTTGTTTGAAAGCTTCAAAAGTTATAGTGCGAGATTTGAACCTACCAAATCAATATCTAAGAGATCAAGGCTATTTCTTCAGGACGTCTAAAACATCGAAAATCACTAAGTGGGACTTTAGCCCCACCTCCAAGAAATGTATAATGAAGTCTGCAACCATTCACCGTAAAAACCATTGTGCTGAGAATCGTATCAGAGGAGAGTTAAAGGGTGAATAAACTCATTACTTAGTAAACTGAGTTTATCTAAGTCAGTTAGCGTGAACAATAGTTATATATATATACAATACAATATATATATACACAATATACAATATATATATACACAATATACAATATATATATAATATATAAGGAAGCAAGCAGGTAAATGAAAGGAGTGTGGTAAAGGGGGTGAATAGCGATTGACAGATTACTTGTAGATTTTTAAAGCTGCTGCTATAGAAAAGAATAACGACATCAGCTGAATGTGCCACTCATCAACATATTATAGTCATGAGAGTTGAGTTGGAGAACGACAGGGCGTACCTCATGTGAAGCGAATGAAGTACTACCGTGTAAACGCCTGTAGGTTATCGTTAATCTGAGACTTAACGAAGAGCATAGTATTTTAAAACTGATTGCTGTTAGGCTTGCGTTTTTACTTGTTGCAATCGTCAAAGCCATACACTTGAGTATCCGAATTTTTTCCATTTTCCATTTGAGCAAAACTGAGACCGAATACGGAAGTGGTACGAAAACAAGTGACGAATAAGCTATTAATAGCAGAGAAACTTGACTTTGTAATTAAGTTGATTATATATGCGAAGAACATTTTTAAGTTTGATATACTTGAAAGTGGCGTTGTTAATGTTAGGTTGTGCTTAAGGAATAACTCAACACGGGGATATTTGCACTTGTCGACAAGCCGAATCAATTTATCAATCAATCTTAAAATCGATTAGCCCAGCAATGACAGTAAGTGGGATCATGTCTTGGTTGAATTTGATTTTTCAGGTGCGGTTTACTTAGAGGGGGTCCTAATGTGAAATTTTAACTTATCAGATATATAACTATATTAAGTATACAGTAGATATGTTACACGTAAAACAAATTGTCAGTCTTGCTTCTGATTATATTTAAATATTTTGTTTTTTTTTTGTTGCATTAATAACGTATTACTATTGAAAACTATAAAATAAATTGAGTAACAATATCATCATTTAATATTCTTAATATTATTGTTATAAGTATAAATGGTGATTGCCATCATTTATTCTAAAATTAATAACATCATAAATTCTACAAAGTTAGGATAAGTCTCTTATCTTAAAGCCAATCAAATGAAATCCTTTTTTAATGATTAAAATATCATTTACGTTTTGTTAAAACAAATCTATTTAATAATATTCGGATATAATTACATCAATATTTGACATTATTACTTATGTCAAACTTGTGTGATATTTATTTAATATATTCAATTTGAAAATTTACAATAAGCCAAATATTACAATTACATAGAATTTTTTGATTAACAAGGACTATAATCGTCTTCGAAAGTATGAGTATATTTTTGATTGATTGATAAACCTAATTTAAAAGTATTAAAAACATGACAAATATAATTTATAATGAATACAAGATACAAGCTCATTATATGCACCACACAACAACAACAACAACAAAAACAACAGCAGCAGCAACAAGGACATGTGCCGGCTTATAACAATGCTCTGGCATTATATCTTTGGGTTAATATATGTGACATTGTCAGTTTGTTTTTTGTTGGTATAAACTTGTAAGTACATAATTCCGTTGCTCATAAATCTAATAATCATACTCCTGCCAAACAAAAGCCTGAACCGTTTATGTATTAGTAGAAATTGTATATGCATGTGTGTACTTCTAATACACTTGCAACAACAATAATAGCAACGAAACAACATTGCAGCGTTTTAGGCCATTTATTTTGCGCAATACACATGCCATGTATGTCAGTTCAGTGTGTGTGCATGTTTGTGTGTGTGAGTGTATATGTATTTGTATTAGGTTTGCCATGAATTTAATATAATAATTTGTGAGCAGTGCTTCGTCCTGTCAGTGTTTCTGTTGTTGTTTTTGTTCTTTATTTATTATTATTTTTTGTTTTTTTTTTTTTTAATAAAGTTTACAAAACATATGCCGCTCACCTATTGTCATACGACATTAAAGCAAAAACATATGACAAAGGAACTCATCAAATTCGAATTTATATGAATACATATCAGTCGACTTTTCTGTTGCCTTCACAATATTTTGTTGTCCTGTTCGAAGGAAGCCATGCAAATCCTGACGAAAAACAGCTGCTATTTGTTATGTCGTGTATTTTTATTAAACTAAATAACTTACATTATGCATGAGTTGCATAATTTTACTCTAAAAAAATAAAAAAATAACGAAAGTTAAAAAAAATTCAGGCTGCTGCTTTACATTATACCTATATTAATTTCAGTAATATATTAAATAAATATTTTTTGTCTTTACTCATAAGTTTGCATGTTAAAGAAGTCATCGCATTTATATTTATAATAAACTATAAATATATCACAATATGTGACCTTAAAATCCAAATTGTGCTTTCATTGCATGTCATCGCAAATACCGCATTTCTTTTACAAATTGATTTATTGTCTACAAATTTCCTTCTCTTAATGATTACCCAAGAATAACAATTCCTTTAATAGTGACTACTTTTTTTGAAATCATAAGCATTAAATATAAATTGTCAATCAACAATTTATATATATCAGTAATATTGTATTAAGTTAATATTGTAATAAGTTAAGAT